GGGGGCGCGCGCCGCGGCGTGTTCCGCAGACCCCCGGAGAGGTGGCCTCGGCCCAGGATTAGGGGCCCGCGTGGCGGCGGTGGCAGTGCCATGGACGCCCGCATTTGTGTTCACCTGGTCTCGCTCTTTGTTGCCCCTCTGGCCCCTAAGGATGTCCTTTTCCGCTCCCATCGCGTCTGCTGGCTTCGCTCGCGGTGTCTTTAACCTTCTTCCCGCCCCCCACCCACTCTTGGCCACACCACAATGAAGCTGGCGGAACTGGGGGTCCCGGTTTCATTTTAGGAGCACCCCGCCAGAGGGACGAAACAAAAGGAGAGGAGCAGGCAGCCGTTCATTTGGTAAATAATTATCGTGGCCTTATTTTGTGTCAGACCAACTGAGACGGTTTCGGCCACCCCAGGGAAGGCTTTGAGCAGTCTGATGGGGGTGCCAGGTGTTTGTCTGGGTGGGCCTATCATCCTCTCAACTCCTGACAAGGGTAGTACCAGGCAGCAGTGGTTTCGGGGGCTCAGACGAAATTCTCAGCCCAGTGAAATTGCATCCATACTACTTAAGTCAATCATTTCTTCAGCGTTTACCAAAACCTTGAAGCCTTTTAAGATTCCAGATATCACGTCCATGACGCCCTGCAGATTCTTTAAGAATGAAAGAAATTTTCAGGGATAGAAAACTGGTTTCAATTGGTTAAATACATCACTTAACACGTGGATTCTACCCCTCCACCATCCATCCCCCACCCCACCCCATACATAACACTTTCGTTTTGAGACCTGTGTTGGAGCAGTTATTTGAGTCATCCTCATTTGTCGCCTCAAAGGTGGGGAGTCAACATCTCAGACTGGAAATTTGTCTCAGGGATCCTTCTCGAGCCCTGGGCCGCCATATCCTGTAACTGGAGGGCACATTACAAATCGGGTGAGCCCCAGGGGCTCTGACAACATCAGAGGGATCTACCTGTGTTCACTCAGATGAACTCCTGGGAGATCAGATTGCTCAAGGGCTATATCCTACACACACACACACACACACAGATTGTTCAAGGGCTATACCCTACATACACACACACAGATGGTCAGAATCTTACAAGATCATGTAGGCTGATCTTTTGAGATTTGTTTCCACCGAGGAGAAAATTGTTTTCAGGTGCTGTCCTGTCCATTCCAACACATGTTGCACCCAAAGTGCAACAGAAGGAAACTGCACCCGGCCCGCCGCCATTCTCACGATGAGTATGTTTGAGGCCCATTGTTGAGGCTGCAGTGTCAATCCATCTTGCTGAGGGTCCTCTTCTTTGTTGTCCTGCATTACCGAGCATGATGTCCTGTTCCGGGACTAGTCTCTCCTGATAACATGGCCAAAGTATGTGAGATATCTCATCATCCTCACTTCTAAGGGGAATTCTGACTGTAATTCTTTCAAAACATGTGTTTGTTCTTTGGGCAGTCCATGGGACTTTCTGTAAACTGAGTTCCACCAGCAGCCAGCAAAGCGAGGGGCAGAACTGCTAACTCCCCAGTTTCTTCCAAGTACATGGCCCTGAACCTGACCCCAAATCCTCCAGACTTCAGGCCTATTGTACCACAGACCTGGGGCTCCACCTGGGGCAGAAGAACATCGAACTTACCTCCGATGGCTAAACTCAAATTCTAAATTGGTTTAGATTTTATCTAAATAATATATACTAAACAATTTCCACTTAGAAGCCACCAGAATATTACACTGGTATTTTAAATATCCTTTGAAAACGATCTCCATCCTTTGTCATTTGCTTTGTCAGATGACGGTAAGTGGAGGATGAGTGGACACTTTCAGCTCCTTGCTCTCTACCCTTACACAGCGCCAAAGCCCTGTGTGAATGAGCGCCCAGCAGGACAACTCCTCTGAACACCCCAGCCTGGCTAGTCTGCTCAGTGCTCAGGCAGGCAACGCGGAGCTCAGTGTTGTAAGGAACGCTTAGCCAAGCCTCCTTGGAAAGCCCATAAGGTCGTCAACAGAATTATGAACCCTCCTCCCACCCCAAACATAAGTTGAAGTTCTAACTCCCTGTTCCTTTGAATGTGACCTTGTTAGCACATACGGCCTTTGAAGAGTTATCAGGTAGGTGAGTGTGAGGTCATACTAGAGTAGGGTGACCTAACCCAACATAAGTGGTGTTCTTATAAAGAGAAGACACAGGAGCAGGGAGGGACAGAAGAGGAGCCCACCACGTGACGACAGAGGCAAAATCTGATGTGATGCATCTACAAGCCATGAACCCACAAATATGGCTGGATATCACCCAAAACTAGACGAGAGGCCTGGAAGAGGCTTTCCCTCAGAACTTGGGAAGAATTTGGTACAGTCACTAACCTGATTTTAGATTCTCAGTCTTCAAAATTGTGAGGCAATAAATATTTGTGTTTATGAGCCACGCAGTTTGTGGAAGTTTGTGACAGCAGCCCTAAGAAACTAATAGAGTGGTCAACTGAAGAGAAAAACCTCCAGGTTAGAATTGTGTCCAGAGTCACGGACTTCAATTTGTGTCCCGCACGTATGTGTCTCATAGCGACCAGATAGGGTAGAACGGCCCCGGTGGGTTTCTGAGGCAATAACAGTGAAAACCTCATCGTGTGCTAGTGGAGCAGCTGGTGGTTTTGAATTTCTGGCCTTGGGGTTAGAAGCCCAATTATAACCCACTACGCCACCAGGGCCCCTCTCAATCAAAATATGATGGCAGTGAATTTGATTTAAAAAAATATTGTCAACTTGGTTAAGCTATGATATACAGTGGTTTAGCAGTTTTATGTCATGATCTAATTTGGTAGTTATGTAATGATGTAATCATTCCTGACTGTAATCTGGTGTAATCAGCCAATCAATTGTAAGGAGACTAGGGTGGGAAGCAACGTTCTTACGCAGGTTACAGACCTGATCCCATGTATGCTTCATTGGGATGTGACTTTTATCACCTTTTACCTTGTAAGAGATCGCAGAAGAGAAAATGAGAAGAGAGAGAGGGAATGCAATACCACAAACAGAGCAGGGAATGAATGGACTGTGTTCTCTGGACCTGGAGGTCCCTGAGCTGAGAATCTCCTAGACCCAAAAGAAGATGAATGCAAAGTTGCAAGGATCTTCAGGGGGCATCAAGTCCACAAATGTTGAAGGGAACAAGGACCTTCCACCAAAGCTTAGAACTGGTGCCCTGAATTCAAAGTTCTAGCTTCCTAAACGGTGAGAGGGTAAATTTCCATTTGTTAAAGTCATAATTACTTGTGGTCTTCCTGTTAAAGCTGCACCAGATAGCTAAGCAAACTCAACCAAACTCACAACGATCAAATTGATTCCAATTCATAGCCACCTTATAAGACAGAGTTGAATTTCCTCTTTGGGTTTCTGAGACTACAAATCTTTTATGAAAGAAGGAAGCCTCATCTTTCTCCCATGGATTGCCTACTGGGTTCCAACCGCTAACCTCCTGGTTAGCAACCCAATTATAACCCACTACACCACCAGGACTCCTTACCTATCGAAGACATGCCTTTAAACCCAGATAAAAAGATCTCTTGCCCTAGGTCTTTCCTCTTTCAGCACCCCATCTCCTAAAGTCAAATATCTGATGGTTCAAGGGGACATGACCCCTCCCATTTCTAGAACATGCCCCAGGACAGGTAGTGAGCAGCCAGGTTCAAGTCATCGTCCATCATTCGGGAGGAATTGCTGGTCTGCATAAGCCTAGGCCTGGGGGTGCAGGGGGGTGGGGGTGGGCTTTAACTCACCCTGTGTCTGTCCAGAGGCTCCTCGTTGTGTGATTGGAGTCCAGATTGGAATAAGGAGAGTGCTATAGGTCATTTGTTAGTGTGATGTTGCATTCACATATGTAGGCATATGATAAATAGTTGTCCATTTATACTCTTGTCCCATGGCCTGCAAACATTTGAGTTAGCCCTGGAAATGTTAGAGTTCTTCTAAAAAGTAAATTATGGGAAGAGGAATTCTGGTTATTAGAAGTTCTCTTGCCTTGAATGTTTACTCTGTCACCCTATAGACCAGTAGTTCTCAACCTTCCTAATGTTGCAACCCTTTAATACAGTTCCTCATGTTGTAGTGACCCTTCAACCATAAAATTATTTTTATTGCTACTTCATAACTGTAATTTTGCTACTGTTATGGATCAGGCAACCCCTGGGAAAGGGTCGTTCGACCCCCAAAGGGGTGCCAACACAGGTTGAGAAGTACTGCTATAGACTGAAAGTTTCAAGCTTTGCAACTTAAGCTTTTAGGTTTATCCAGTTTTTCTTACTGTTTACATTTTGCTGCTGCCATATAATTGTAATAATATACCACGTGC